GACCTCTTACTGGTTCAGCACTTAATGATTCAGACCTCTTACTGGTTCAGCACTTACCCATTCAGAAGTTGCCAAACAGCCCCTAAATGACGTGGTTTTCAAGATGTTTCACTTGTTCTCTTAGCAAAATGCAATAAACAAATGTTTTCTAAACTTGGTTTTTATTTTGGAGAACTTGCATTTTTGACATCGGCTAACGGCATGACTAAACCAACCATGGGTCTGGCTAAACCAGCCCAACAGCGATGTTGAGGTAATCAACAGCGCTGTCTAGACGGGGTAGCTAAAAACATGGTTTGGCGTTAAGTCTTCCAACAGCGATGTTGGTTACTAGACATCGCTGTTGAGCCAAGGTTGGATCTCCAGAAACTTCTGGAACAGCGATGTAGGCTTCCCTACAGCGCTGTCCAACCTAAGCCAAAAATATAGGCATTGGCAGAAAGTTTTTGGACAGCGATGTTGACCCAGCAACAGCGCTGTCAGGCCAAACTTCCATATCCAAAGGCAGACCTAAACAACGATGTTCTAGTATAGAACATCGATGTAGGGACCTGACCGTTGGAAGGAATTTAAGGCTAAAACTTTCCTTGTTTGGAAGTCAACAGCCAAAACAGCGATGTAGGGGTTTTGGACATCGCTGTTGGCATGACCGTTGCTTCCCAATTTTTAAAAATCAAGCCTAGAACAACGATGTCGAAGCCTAGGACAGCGCTGTCTGGGTGAATTTCAGCAGATCCAATTTTAATCAAATCCCACAAATTATGCCAATCACCCCTTAAATACTTTGGTCCGTTGGAGCCTATTTTTCTACTATAAAATGGGGTGTTTGGGTTTGTTTTACACATCACATTTACTTCACAACTCCTACTCTTTCATTGCAAATCATTCTTCAATTTTTCATAGCTTTTGAGAGCCATTTTTGTGAAGCCTTTGTTGTGTTCTTGAGCGTTCTTAGTTTACTCATTATCCACTCTAAAAGAGAGTATTGTTCTTGAGTGTTTTTAGTGTTCTTAGACACTTGACAAGAGAAGGTATTTCTCTTGTTGTTCGAAGGAAGGGTTGTTTCTTTCGAAGGTTCGTTGAGGTTCGTGTGACTCGAATTCTCAAGTTGTACGGGTTTGTTAAGCACCGTTAAGCTTAACGAGATAGTAGTGTAGCTCGAGAGAGTCTCTCGGGAGGCTGGACTAGTCACAAGTTGTGGTGAACCAGGGTAAAATTGGTGTGCCTCGTTCTTTTCTCTTTACTTCTCGCTTATTCATTTTTATTCTTGCGATTTCTTGATCAAACGCTTTTCACCCCCCCTTTAGCGTTGGTCTATTATTCTAACAATGGGTACGTTAAGGTCTTCCAACACTCGAGTAGTTTGCTCGATCCAGTCCCATGCAGTTTGGGGTTCACCGATGCGATCCCCAAGGAATAATTCTGCACCGTTATCACTTAGCGTTTTGTAGGTTATCACACGAGGTGGCGGTGGTGGAGGTGGTTGAAACATTGGTGCGTTAGCTATCTGTTGTAACACATTAGCAAGAAAAGTTAGAATCACAAGGTCGGGTTGACCACCAGCGTTTGGGTTATTCCAAACATTTTGTGGATTGACGGGTTCATTGTGGACGGGAGGGGTGAAGCTAGATGCTTCAGTATGAACACTGACGTGTTCATTGTTGTTGCCTTGTCCGTGGGAAGATTCTTGACTCATTCTACAATGAAAGAAATTCCTTTATTAGGATTCTTTTATTCAGTAGTTGAGTTTAAAA